GCTGGACTGGATTATTTATAGTACTGATGGTTGCTTTACTATCACAAAACAAGGATATATTTGTTGTTTTAATCAACTTTAACTCTTCCATTAATCTACACAACCATAGGAGTTCACAGATTCCTTGTGCCATAGCTCTATATTCTGCTTCTGCACTGGACCTTGCAACAACAGCCTGCTTCTTGCTTCTCCATGTGCTTCTCCATGTGACAAGGTTTCCTCCAATAAAAAACACGATGACCTGAGGTTGATCTCCTGTTCATCAAAGGAAACCAGCCCACTCCACATCTGTATAGCCTGTTATTGTCAAATGGCCATGTTAGAAAATAAAGTTCCTTTACCTGAGCTGATTTTAAATATCTTTAGAATCCGATGCCACAGCTTCTAAGTGAGAGCTCCTGGGGGTTCATGCATGTACTGACTCACTAAACTTACACATTAGGCAATATCTGCGCGGTCTAATATAGCAAGGTAAACAACCTCCGACCAATCTCTGATACCTGCCAACATTTCAACTGAACTCCCACTCCAGCACTCCAGCTTGAAGCTTATGATTGGCTTCAGTATGTGATTCTGCAGGTTTACATCCCAACATACCAGTTTCTTTAAAGAGATCAAGGATGTACTTTCTTTGAGAAATAAAATCCCTTTTTCTAATCTAGCAACTTCTATCCCAAGGAAATATCTCAACTTTCCCAAATCTTTAATCTCAAACTCTCTAACTAACAAACTTTTCAAGTGAGTCATTTCTTCTTCATTATTTCCAGTCATCACTACATCATCAACATAAACAATAAGCAATGTGATTTTACCTTCATGATGTTTCATGAACAAAGTATGATCAGTATCGCTCTGAATGTACCCAAAAGAAAGCATAGCTTTACTAAACCTTTCAAACTATGCTCTTGGTGATTGCTTCAGCCTATATAATGACTTCTTCAGTTTGCAAACTTTTCCTCTAGTCTTGTCAACATCAAATCCAGGAGGAATCTCCATATATACCTCTTCTTTCAAGTCACCAATCTCCATATATACCTCTTCTTTTTCCAAGTCACCATGTAGAAAAGGCGTTTTTAACATCAATTGATGTAACTACGATCATAGAATGTCCTGATGTGTTTGGCAAGTTCACAAGCATCACATATAATGAAATCAAAATGACACTTAGCAAACAAAGTGGAAATAAAATGTTCCTAAAGTGGGAAATAAATGTCCTAAAATAGAAAAAGAGGGATATCCTAATCTCCTGTGCCATTGAATAACTTCATGGGAAGGATTTCTAGAAGTTCCTAAGAAAGCTTGATTGGTACCCGAATTTGAAAAACGACAAACGTCATACAACAAATACAGTCCATCGCGCAAGCTATCACTGCCAATCGTTCTCCCCGTGTTCAATTCCTGAAATATACAATGAGTAGGGTAAAAAGTTACTTTGCAATTAAACGTTTTTATGATTAAGCTAACAGATAACAAATTAATAGGGAATCTAAGAACATAAAGAACATAGGAGAGTTTAATATTGGAAGTACAGTCAATAGGACCTGTCCAGCAATCGGTACTAAGGAGCCATCTACAATGCGAATTTTTTCTGTGCCTTGATACTTAGAATATGTGAGGAAATGTTTTACAGAGCCTATTGTATGTTTATTTGCTCCTGAATCTATAACCCAAGAGGGTTTTGCAATTTTTTGCAAGAAAGGCAAGAAAAGCATTACCTGAATTAACAAAATTAAAGGTTGCAGTCTGAGTTGATGAGGAATCAGGCTGTGACAACAATTGTTTCAGGGACTGAATTTCCTTATCAGGAAAAGCTACCAGCAGTAGATGTTTCCTCAGATAAAGCTCCACCATCAGACATGTGTGCCTGTGGTCTAGAAGAATTGACCCGCTTGCCTCCACGCCCTTTAGTTGGGCGTCCATGTAATTTCCAGCAGAACTCCTTAGGGTGCCTATTCTTACTGCAATAATCACAAAATAATTGATCTCTATCTCACAAAATAATTGATCTCTATCTGAAGAACCGCTCTTTGCAGCCTGTATATGTTCTCTTGCAGAATTAGCAATCAACCCTACTTTATCAATTGTAAATCTGTGAACCAAAGCATTCCTACGAGTCTCCTCTTGCTGTACAAATGAATATGTTTGTCGCAACAATGGAAAAGGATCTCGTCCAAGAGCTTGGACTCGGATCTGATCATACTTGTTATTTAGGTCAGCCAGAAAATCATACACACGTTCTACTTCAATCAACTTCTAAACTTGAGTCGCATCATCAGTACATTTTGCTTGAAAGTCTTGGTAATAATCCATTTCCTGCCATAACCCACTAAGTTCCATAACCCACTAAGTTCAGCCACATATTGAGTGATAGTCATATCTCCCTGCTTGGTTTCATGAACTTTCTGTCGCAATTCATACCTCTGAGGATAGTTTCTAGTTTGTGAATACATCTGTGAAGCGGCATCCCATATCTTCTTAGCTGTATCAAGAAGTAAATAGCCTCGAGAAATAGTTGGCTACATGGAATTTATTAACCAAGACATAATAAGAGAATTCTCGTCGGATTTCCATTTGTTAACGCCCGGATCTGTCGAAACTGGTTTAGTCGCTCCACCATCAAGGTATCCCTGCGAACCTTTTGCTTCAATGAATAATAAACAAGACCGAGACCAAGTCAGGTAGTTTGCTCTATCTAACTTCATCGGACTAATCTGAAGTGAGGGGCTCTCTGAGTGAAAGTCCATATCTACCTTCTTTCCGTCACCCATACTATTAGACTAAAAAAAAAATTCAAGCGGCTGTGGTGAAGAACCAGCAGTGGTAGAAATAAACCAAAAAAGGGAAAAAATTCCAAAAAGGCAAAACTGGTGCTGAAGAACCAGTAGGTGAAAGTCACCACAACAAGTCGAGGCCATCGGAACAAGAAACGTCGACGGAGCTCACCAGAAACAGCCGCATGCACCGGCGCATGAAGAAATGCCAAAATCTTCTGGAGGCGCGTGTGCACACGCTCATGGTCGGACGGCAACCGATTTGGACGGAGGGCCGATCGGCGGTTGCTCTTCCTTCTGAGCGGGGCGGTGACAACCAACTCCCACTCCCGGCGGTACTGTGTGTATTTCAACCCACTCTCAAACCGAAACCGTTGCCGAAAAATTCACGACAATGGCTCTGATACAGTGAAGAAATTAAAAGAAAAAATATGTTGTATTTCTTTCTATTGTGTTATTATTTTTCAATCTCTACTCCACTATATATATACAAAAGATTGTTCCAATATAGAAAGTAATCTAAATAGGAATAAACCTAAACTAGGAAAGACAATATATATATATACAAAAGATTGTTCCAATATAGAAAGTAATCTAAATAGGAATAAACCTAAACTAGGAAAGACAATATGTACTCTAAATAAGAATAAACCTAAACTAGGAAAAACAATATTTACTTTAATTACAAAGATTTCAACAAATAGTAAAAGTGCTTTTACTGTTACAGAATTTGATTAATTTTTATGTTACAAATTGAAATTTATGAACAGCAAAGTACATTACTGCTAACTTGAGGGACAACAGGTGAAAAATGAACCTAAAGGTACACAAGTTAATATTTCTTTCAAGGCTTGTATCATTACCACAAGTACCAAACTTATCTTGCGCACATTTTTACCAGAAAAAGGTAGCAGGTAGGCAACTTCATCCTCAACATGAGAGGGAGTGAAGAATATGTATTTTAAGCTGACTTCCAATTCTTAATTCTGCAGAAACATCTAAACACCTCTGGTGCATCATTGAGCTAATTACTACAGCAGATCCCAAAAATTTCCAAATCAGTGACTTGTCATTTTTAGCATGGTTTTGAATAACAACCTTTACATGTCAGGTTTTAGGCCTATTGTTATATAATGAGCTATTTCCAAATAGTTATTTGGGAATCTCTAGTAGAATGGATTGAACCAGTTCAAATCTGGTTCTTAACACATTGTGGATTTGTGTATAATTATATTCTACAATTTCAGAACTTGATTAAATTAATTAATATTTATCCATTATGGCTATTCTTCTCCAATCCATTACAGGCCTTTTGTTGTAGGTTTTTATATGTACCTTTTTTTTTAAGCTGATTCTTACAAGAACTCATGGCTGGTTGTGGCCATTTCAGTACAGCTACAACACTGCTACAGTGAATTCAACAATATGGTCCAAGCTACATCTGGAAATTTTATGAACTAATTGTATCTTCTGCATGCCTCTACAGTCTAAATATCTCAAGCTGGATGTATTTGTATACCCATAGTTTGAATAAATGCAATTATTCTTATGGAGACCTAAAAATGGATGTTTTGACAGAAAAAAATATGAACAATGGGGCATATAGCACTGGTTCCCTAAAGAAAACACCAGAGCTCAAACAATAGCTATCTTGAAATGGACCAGGTTATAAGCACATCATTAAGCTATTGAACAAACCTACATGTAGAATGGATTTGTTTTCAAGGAATTTCCAGCATCTATTATTTTCACATATGGGTCGTTCACAATGATTTTGATATTATTTACATATGCACATTGTAAGCAATACAACTGCCTATTATGCAAAGAGTTATAAAGACTATAGGATATAGGTAGGATGGCTAATGCACTCGACTTAACCAAGTCTTATTCCAAGCTAGTTGGGATCAGCTATTTGAATTGTTTTTCAGTGTTATTGCAAGCTAGTTGGGATCCACTTTTTGAATTGTTTCCCATTCCACCTGATTCAGAGCTAAGTTTCACGAAGGTCTAGGATTTCTGGATCTTATTCACTATTTCTCTCCATGTCATGTTATGCCTACCCCTCTCTTCCTCAATTCCAACAATCTCTGATATTTAACCTTCCGAATCAGAGCACTTGTTGATCAATAGAATTAATTAAAAAGATGAAACAAGAGGAAAAAGATTAAAAAAAAAAAGAAAGAAAACAAAGACAAATGAAAAAAAAAAAAAAAAAAATCTTCTTACTTCCAGGGCATCAGTCTTCTCTGATATTTTGGCATTACTTTCTGACCCGGAATCTTTCAATCTATTAGCACAATCACTAGCCAACGACCTAATGGCCTTTGTTATCTGCACCAATGAACTTGTCTACAAGAAAAAAGAAAACTTATGGTGCATTGATGACAAGAAGCAACTCCTGAGACAGACAAAACCAATGCTATGAACCTTTGTCGCATATATGGGGATGTCATGAGACTTAGCAGCAGCTTGAATCCCAGGATTCTTCTTGAGCTTGGCCTGCAAGGCAAGTAGTGCATCTGCCTCACTGATATTATCAGTTAATTGAACTGCACTATCCATTTTCAACTGATTGATCCCTTGAATCACACTTGCCTCCAGGATCTACAATAACCACTTGTTCTGTAAGTCCCATTTCCAGTATTTTCTTAACATCCGCTAGTAGCACAGGTGCCAACAGAAAACATTAAGTAAACTTCAGCTGAAAAGCAAAATATAGTTTCTATTTCAAAATAAAATGCAGGCTCCAATCTTATGGAAAACATATTTAATAGATGCTTACTAGTAGCTCGACAGCTAGTTCATGCAAAGTGGAGGCCAACTTGGCTATTATGTCTATGGTCATAAACATTATTACTAAGTAACAAACATAAAATTAAGGTCATAAGAAGATTTTTTTCAAGGATTAGCAACTCTTCAAGAACATGTCTACTGAAACCAAAATACAACAAATGCAAGCAAAGCATGGAAGAAAGCAACAACCACCTAAGCTTGAGCCTTAAATTAATTGGTTTTATTAGACACTAAAGCTCATACACAAGCTCAATTCAACTAAAGCTTGAGCCTTAAACTAGTTGGCATTTTAATAACCCCAAACTTAAGCAAAAGAACTTTCCTGTGCTTTTTATGATTACATTCATTTTGAGAATTCAGCTGGCTATGTAACCTCCAGTTATTTCTTGTTATTAAATGGTGTCGTTGATCTGCCACACTGAGAAAATATCACATCCTTATGTGCATCGCGTAGTACAATTTCAAATATGAGACCATATTACATTTCTGAATGGACACTTGATATATGATAGCTTTGCAGGGTGGCTATTTAGGCTAAATTAGAGTGTTAATGTCGGTATCTATGGATAGCAACATGTGAGCAAAAAAATAAAAGGAAAAGAGTTAAACCATTGAATTAAACTTCCTTGGGCATCACATCCAAGGTCCCCACAGGCATCACATCTAAGACCGCATAGGAATCACATCTAAGTCGCCCATAGGCATCACACCCAAGGCTGTATTGCGCATTCAAAAAAGCATTGATTTTAAGAACGGGTTTTGGGAAAACTTTGTTATATATTTCTTGTGTTTCAATGAGACCTTATACAACCTATTTATACACAAGTATCAAATTCTAAAATAGGAAAAGAATAAATAGGGAAAGAGCAATATATACTCCTAAATAGCCTATACAAGGATGAAAGAAATAAATAGGGAAAGAGCAAAAGAGCAATATATACTCCTAAATAGCCTATACAAGGATACTCCAAATCAACCAAGTCAACACTCCCCCTCAAGTTGGTGCATAGATATTGCACATGCCCAACTTGCAAACCAAGTTATGGAATTGTTTGCTGTTAAGCCCTTTAGTGAGAACATCTGCAACTTGATTATCTAAAGTCACATGAGTAAGCTTCAAAACACCTTGATGACTTTTTCTTTTATGAAATGTCTGTCAATCTCTATGTGCTTTGTCCGGTCATGTTGAACTGGATTTTGAGCAATACCAATTGCGGCCTTGTTAGCACAAAACAAAGTCGAATCTTCTCCTTTCAACAGTCGCAATTCTTCTATCATCTTTCTTAGCGATAACAGTTTGCAAACTCCTTTGAGCCATAGCTCTATATTCCGCTTCTGCACTCGAACGTGCCACTACAGTCTGCTTTTTACTTCTCCAAATAACTAGGTTTCTTCCAACATGTAGATTTAATGTGGGAAAATATTTTTCTATATTTGATTCATCAATAGGGACACATATATATACACATACAAGATACTATAAACCTATTTAGAATCTAACTCCTAATTTAGAATCTAACTCCTAATAGAGTTCTAATTTGCCTCCTAATAGAGTTCTATTTACAACTAATCCTTAACACTCCCCCTCAAGTTGGATCATAGATATTAATCATGCCTAACTTGTTACAAAGATAGTCAACTCGGGGTCCATTTAGAGCTTTTGTAAAGATATCCCCTAACTGTTCACTTGTTTTAACGTGTCCTGTAGAGATAACACCCTATTGTATCTTTTCATGAATGAAATGACAATCAATCTAGATATGTTTTGTTCGTTCATGGAATACTGGATTTGATGCAATGTGAAGAGCAACTTGATTATCGCACCATAACTTTGCAGGCAAGGATGACTTGAAGCCAATTTCCTCTAACAACTGACGAATCCAAATTAATTCACAAGCAGATTGTGCCATAGCTCGCCAGCACTCGATCATGAGACAACATTTTGTTTCTTGCTCGTCCATGATATCAAGTTTCCACCTACAAAGACACAATATCCTGAAGTTGATCTTCTATCAACCTTCGAACCTGCCCAATGAAAGAATATCCTGAAGTTGATCTTCTATCAACCTTCGAACCTGTCCAATCCGCATCTGAAAAACATTCAATGTTCAAATGCCTATGATTACTGTAAAGGAAGCCACGACCTGGATTACCTTTCAAGTAGCACAAAATCTATCCTAAAGCTTTCCAATGGATAACAGTAGGAGAAGACATAAACTGGCTCAAGACGCTCATAGAGTAAGCAATATCTGGACGTGTTACGGTAAGATAATTCAATTTGCCCACTAACCTTCTACACATCTCAAGATCATCAAATAGCTCACCACCAATTGAAAGTTGGAAATTTGGAGTCATTGGAGCACTGCATGGCTTGCATGGCTTGGCACCCAACTTTCCAGTTTCCTTCAGTAAGTCAAGGACATACTTCCTTTGAGATAAGAAGATGCCCTCTCTTACACCTAGATACTTCAATAGCCCAAAAAATACTTCACAGCTCCTAAGTCCTTTTTGTCTGGAACTGGGTCTGGAGAATGATTTGAGTGATGTAATCCGGCTGAATCACTTCCCTGTAATACAATGTCATCAAGCATAAACCAGCAAGTAGAATCAAACCCAGTCTTAGTAACTTCTCTGAAAAATACAGAATGATCAGAAGTACTCCTTCTGCATGCCAAATGATGTACCACAATTGCAAAAATCTACAAAACCAAGCTCGAGGACTCTGTTTTAGGCGCATAAAGAGATTTTTCGAAAGTTTACACCACTTTAACCCGACTCCCCCTGAGCAACAAAGCTGGTGGTTTGCTCATGTAAACTTCCTCCTGAAGATCCCATGAAGAAAGGCATTTTTAACGTCCAGCTGATGTAAAGGCCAGTCAAAGTAGCCTGCTAATGAAAAAATAAACGAACAGAAAGACAATTTGGCAACAGGAGAAAAAGGTATCAGAATAACATCCAAGGCGCATAAGATTGAGAATAGCCTTTGCAAGCTAATCGAGCTTGAGACGAGCAACAGTCCATCCAGTGATTCACTTTAACGGTGAAAACCCACTCACCAATAGCTTTTCTTACCTGGCCGGGGAAGAGGCACAAAATCCTAAGTACATTTAGTATCTAAGGCAAGCCATCTCCTCCTTCATTGCTGCACACCAAACAGGATTGTAGACAAAGCTTTGGACAACAGTTTTAGGAAATAGAGACCAGAGTCTAAGTTACTTACAAAACAACGAGATGAAGAAGAAAGATGATCATAACTACAAAAAGAGGAAATAGGGTAGGTAACATACGGCGTTACCCCTTTCAAAAAGAAGAGCAATGGGAAGGTCAAGGTCTGACTGGGGAGTGGATGGCACAGGCTCAGGTTGAGTGGAGAAGAAACCGGATCTTCCTGTTGAAACGGCAGGTGGAGGAAGTGAAGTCAAGAGTCCCTGGTCCTCCTGGAATAAACTGTTCAAAAACGAGGGCGTGTAGATGCTGGTGCAGGAGTGGAATGGAGCAGCTAGACCACTGGAGTAGGAGCAGGAGCAAGGTCAGGAATACGGAGCAGGAGCAGGGATTTATTGAACTTGCCTGGATAGCTAGACTAAAAAAGGTCATGCATCCTCCCTCACTCCTTATGTTATGGAAGAAGGAAAAATGGGAGTATTCTCAAAAAATGTGACATCTGCAGAAATAAGATAACGGTCAGTCGGGAGAGAAACAACGATACCCTTTTTGATGCCGAGAATACCCAAGAAAACACTATGAAGGGACTTTTTGGATCTAATTTGGAAAACCTGTGGACGAACATCACGAACAAAACAAGTACAACAAAAAATACGAGGTTCAATTGGGGAATAAAGTTTAGAAGGAAACAAGACATTATAAGGAATTGCAAACCATTAAGCACAGAAGAAGGCATGCGATTAATCAAAAACATGCAGTGAGACGATCAGCCCAAAAATGTTTAGGGAACTTCATTTGTGGAATTAAAAAGTGCCCTAGCACCTACAAAGAAGATGTCGATTCTTTCCTTTCTGCAACCCCATTTTTGAGAAGGAGTATCAACACAAAAGACGTTTGATGGAGAATACCATTTTTGTGAACATATAAGATTGGAAAGGAACTAGATAGGTATTCTTTAGCATTATCAACTTGTGATATGCCGAATAGAAGTATTAAATTGAGTTTTAATTTCAGCACAAAAAGAACAAAAATAGAGAATATCTCAGAACGAGTTTTCATTAAAAAATAACCAAGTACACGAGAAATAATCATCCACGAAAGTTTACAAAATACCGAAAAGCCAGTTTTAGAAATAACAGGACATGGACGCCAACATCCAGAAATGAACTAACTCAAAAGGGGATAGACCCGTTTATTGAACTCGAGGAACTAAAGGTAAACGATGATGTTTGGCAAATTGGACGAGATTTCACATTCTAAAACTTGATAAAGAACTGAACTTGCGGACAACTTCTTTAAAGTAGACAATGATAGATGACCCAACGACAATGAACCTCAAGAGGAGATAGATGCACCAGCACAAGCCAGAGATATGAACGTGTTCATCCAGAAGATTAAAGGCCACTAGACTCACGTCCTCTAACCAATAATCCGCCTTCGTCAAAGTCCTGAAAACACACAATAAGTAGGATAAATTGGACACAACAATTCAGCATACGAGTAATTTTCGCTACAGATAATAGATTAAAACGAAAAACGAGGCACAACAAAACAGAGACAATGGAAGAGATGGAATGGGATTGGCAGTGCCAAATACACTTTGACAGGAGATGTAGACCCATCCAGCTAGAGTAACATGACGATTA